CACGGCCGGCTGCCCCGCTCAAGGACGGAGGAGAACAGGCAAGAGCTGATCCCCTGCAGCTCCGAGCTGCCATCCCATGGGAACGCAGCTTCGGCATCGCCCTTCGCTCATCCCGCAGCCGGAGCTGGGGAGGCTGGGAGCAATGCCGGTGGTTTTTCCAAGGGGATAACAGCATCAGTAATGAGGATGAGGCTTTTCCACCCACAGCACCGGTTGCCTGCAGCACGCTGCCTGGCCCAGCCGCTGCCGGCTCCCGCCATGGAGACCTGGGATCAACTCAGATATTTCAGGCTGGGTCCCCCCTCCATGAGCGGCAGCCCCGCTGTGGGGCAGGTCGAGCATGACCAGGCGTGACAGAGGAACAATTATTATTAATCTTAGGGATAATAATTAATAACCGAATCAAATGCTGACTGTGATAACGGGACTGTCGCAGCTGTAAGGGTCCCCCCGTCCCCGCTCACCAGGACGCGACCGAAGCGCTCCTCCAGCTCGGCTACGGCGGGCATGGGCTGCCGGGCGGGCGGTGCGGTGGCGCTCGGGGGGGCGGCGGGAGGCCGGGGGTCGCGGCTCTCCCCCCCCGACGGCCCCCCCTCCATGCCCCCGGCCGCATTGCCCATGGCCGGGCTGGGTTCGGGGGTGTTGCTGCTCCTCCCCCCGCTCCGAGGCTGCTCTTAGCCGTTTGCAACTTCGCCGGAGCGTTATCGCGCTGCTAACGCCTCCCCCCACCCGCCACCCCGCCCCGGCGGGCAGGGCTTCACCGGCCCTGCCCCGGCAGCAGGAACCGACCCCGGCGCTCGGACCGCAGCGCGGGGCTGCACCGCTGCCCGCTGCCTCCTGCCCTGTCCCGGCTGCTGTCAGCTTGTGCGACCTTAGCATTTGATTTCATTTGTTAATTTAATATTTTAATTTTAGTAAGTTTATTATTTTATTTCACTTAATTTCATTTTCTTTTCTTATTTTTAATCTTATTTTATTATTTTATTCTATTTTTTAGATGTAACTTTCATTTTATATATTTTATTTTATTTTACATTTAGTTGGCTTTATTTTTAATTTATGCATTTATTTTATTTAATTCTTTCTATTTTAGCTTATTTTATTTAATTTTTATTTCGTGTTATTTTATTTTTATTTTATTCTTTTTATTTTATTCTTTTTTCCTTATCCTTTACCTTTTTTATATATTACTTTATTAATTTAATTTCATTATTTTGTTTACTTTAAAAACTTTTATTATTTATTTTGTTCTTTTATTTCCTTATCCTGTTTTTTCCTATTAATTTTATACTATTATTTATTTTATTCCATTTACTTTCAAATTTTGTTCTATTATTTCATTTTCTAGGGTGACAGTTGGAGCGAGGGGTGCAGCCGGAAGGTGTCAGGCTCCCTCTTTCCCCACTTTAGCCTCCACAAAAGGGAGAGCTGAGGCCAAGCCAGCTCGTTGCACCTCTGGGCACCCCACCCTGGACAGGGGCTGCCAGGTGCCAGGTTGGCACGGTGTGGGCAGATCCTGCAGCCTGGGTTGCTCCTGTGCTGCTGCTGGGCCATGACAAAGGTGGATGAGCAGAACCACCTCACCCAAGGCAGGCAACACATGGTGATGGCAGTCCCTGGAGAGCCACAGCACTCATCACCTTCAGCAGAGCACCCACCACACATGGTCGGGGCTGCAGCAGCTGGTGTCACCTCCTCCACATGCAATTCGTGATGGCTGCCTGCTGGCACAGAGCAAGGCATTTCCCCATGGCATCAATGCTGGGGCATGAAGCACATTATTCTACTACGATTTGGTGAGATTTACTGAGATTTGGTGAAATTAAAGACTTGAGGATAGATGTGCTGAGGAATGGGTAGAGGATAGATCTTGGAACCCTTCGCGCAGCCCTGGGGCTGCATCTATCCAGCTCTCGTAGCATCTCCTGTTTGGCAACACCAGCTGAGGTGCTGGGACAGGCGCTTGGCACTGCAGAGACCAGAGGAACGTACGGGACCTGTTTGGTCGACCTCTGCAAACCCTAAATCCTCAACCAGGGGATGCACAACCTGATCAGGAGCTGCCGTGGATTCCTGAGCTCCCTTTGGCACTATGCTGCATCCTCTCTGTCATCTCTGGGGCTCTGGGAGGCCAGAGGGGAGCAGCAGGCAGCTCAGCGGCACCAAAATTGGGGTCACCCACACCACATTTGGGTTTATTCCACTTTTCCAAAGCTCAAAATTGCAGTTAAAATCTCTTTGTTCATTAAATATTTCAGCATCTTGTTAAATATTTTGCAATTAATATGCTCATCCTGGTTTTCACAGGACAGGGATGGTCACCCCGACAGTCCCAGGAGGGCAGATGTCACCAGGACCATGTATGAAGACCAAGGTTTTCACCCAGAGGTCCCACGCTGAGGACATACTCTGCTGTGGGGCAGGGAGCCTGTGAGGACCCCAAGGGACACCTTCCACTAGACCAGGTTGCTCAAAGGCCCATCAGAGTCCTCTCTTTTTACCACTTTTCTGGTGTTTGATTTGCAGTACATGAAGGCCTTTGTCTGACAACTTCAATGACATGGGAGCTGCTTGCTTCCTGCTGTAATGATCCTTAAAAATATGCTAGAAACCCCGTTCCAATAATCATCTTCAATATGTGTCCAGGGCTAATTTATTAGTTTTTTACATTAAGGTTGACTTCAGACTTAGGTTTATTTCTTAATTAAGTTCAATTCACTGAGAAACCCTCAAGCTGGACATCAGACCCTTTTTTCCACCTGGATTTGCAGCTCCAAAAAATTATACTGTTTTCTTGATGTTAGAGATATCCAGGCAATATTTGCTCATCCAAAGAAGCATTCCTAGACCTGCACTGTATAGTTCAGAATAAACCCAAGCTTAGCATGATAACTTGGCACTGAAGGATTAAGCTCCAGAAGCTTGACAGTATTTGGAGAGCTGACCCCACCTTACATACCTCCAAGGAGCTGGACCTAGAGGTACCTGAACCAAGGAGGGAACCGTTCAAGGTTGCCAGAGGCCATGGCTCTTCCTTTGTTCCTTGGTGAGGATTTCTAATGGTTTGAGGACTTGCTCTGAAGTTGTGTGGCTGAAGTGAAGGTTGACCCAAGGTTCTCTCTTGGTGGAAGTATCAAGATCTTAATTCCTTTACTTCTGAAGTGCTGAGCTTGGATTTCTGTTTTCTGTGCTGCTGAATTTCTTAGTGGCTGTAATGAGTTCCAGGTATAACTCCACTCTCCATTTAGCCCATCATCTTCTCAAGTGCACATTTTAATGTGTTAAGCCATGAGAAGCAGTGGAAGGAGAAGAAATGTGTCACTTCTATTGGTAAATCAGCTTCTTCTGCAGGTTTTTACAGCTTAGAATAGAGGAATTTAGGGGTAAAGCACATGGCTGGAGTCCTGGGACATGGAGGTTCAGGGCTGCAAAGAGCTTGAAAAACAGATGAAGGTAAACATCGTTCCCAACCAGAAATATTTTGGTGTCACATCACAAATAGCTCATCCAAGGATTAATTATACATAACTTGGTGTTTGTGTATCAGCTGCAGCTTGAACACAGTTGGCTTGGATCCCATGGGATGTGTGTGAGTTCAGAATCTGTGTAAGGAGGAAAACATGGAATAGATAATGAGCAAAAATTGTGATATGATGTATGTAAGGAGTAAGGGAAGAGCAGTGGAGGAGAAAGGGGCTCCTCAGCCTCTCTGTTGCTCTGGGAACGGAAAATAAAAGCCATGGATAGAATACAAAATAATTTTTTTATTGGTTTCTGAGGAGTTTGTCTTCCAACTCAGAGCAGTGAGTCCGCTTCTGCTGAAAACACGGGAGGAACAGGAAGCAGGCGAGCTCTGTCTGGAGCCATCTCACCCAGCTGTTGAAGAGCCATGGTTGGACCCTGGAGGAATCACGGAGCCATTTAGGTTGGAAAAGACCTTTAACATCATCAAATCCAATCATTAACCTGGCTCCAGGGATGGGACAGCTGCCACCTCTCTGGACAACCTGTGCCAATGTTCTACCACCTTTATTGTAAAGAATCTCTTCCTCGCCTGAATCCAACCTGAATCTCCCTCTTTTAGTTTCAAACCATAACCCCTTGTCCTGTCACAACAGGCCCTGCTAAAAAGGTCTCTCCTCATCTTTCTTGTAAGCCCCTTTTAAGTAATGAAAGGCCACAATAAGGTTTCCCTGGAGTCTTCTACAGGCTGACCAATACCAACTCTCTCAGCCTTTCTTCGTAGGTGAAGTGCTCCAGTCCCTCCACCATCCAATGAACCCTCTCCACTGTGTCCACGTCTCTCTTTTACTGGGGACGCAGAACATGACACAGTCCTCTAGGCATGGCCTCATCAGCGCTGAGTAAATGGAAGAGTAATCCCCTTCCACCTACTGGCAACACGTTGTCAAAACGCAGCCCAGCGTTATATACCAGCTCTGCAGCAAGGGGACGCTGCTGGTTCACAGTCAACCTGGCATTCACCAGGACCCCTAGACCAAGCTCCATTCTAGCTGGGTATCTCCCAGCACGCAGCAGTGCCGGGGGTGGTTCTTCCCAGGATGAGGGCTGTGAACTCCATGTAAAAGGAAAGGGCTCCTAAACACCAGTGGCTGCCCAAGCTGCCTCCTTAGGAGGTGGTCGGAGGTCACACAGCAGGGTCTGGGCCCCCTCCAGCCCTGCTGGTCCCAAAGTTGCACCAGAAATGTAGATACTAGAGGCCCCAGGGCTCACCCTGGTTCCTGCTGCCTGTGTGCTCGGGACATGATGCCAGCCCTGCTTTGTGATGAGGAAAGACTTCTACAAACAAAGGATGACAAGGGCTGCTGCTAGAGCTGTCCCCAGGGCCAGCATCTCTCCTGGAGAAGACAAGGGTGATGGCCCAAGCAGGGGGGGAACCCAGTGCCAGCTCCCAAAGAGTGAGCACAGTTCAGGCAGCTCTTTCCCACCCTTCCCAGTGATATTGGGTGGGGAAAAAAAAGGAGCACACAGGGAGTACAGAGATTCTCAGTGCTTTATTGTGACAGCTCGAGCCCAGGGGGCCATGCAGACAGGAGCACGAGTTCCTTGCTGAACATGGGACTCCAGACCTCACCCATGGGAGAGGAACCCTGGGCTCTAGGTCCACCCCAGGCTGGCCAGGTCACCGTGAGCTGCTGGAGAAGGTTTCATCCCCATTGGTCCCTTCTCTTCTCTCAGCAGCAGCTCTAGGTGGTCTAGGTCTGGGGTGGCATGGCCACACTGACACTGCTCTCTGCCTCCCCTGTGGCTGCAGTGCTCCCGTCTTCCTCTTCCTTTTTGTCTGGCAGCAGCTCCGATATGCTGGAACCTCGTTGGAGCTGAGATCCAGAGGTTTGGTCCTCCTCTGGGCTGCAGCCCAGGTCTGCGGGCAGATGGAGAGAGGGAATGGTGAGGAGTTGGCAGAGTTCAGCCTCCACCCTCTGCTAGAGGAACACATGTGGCACCTGTGGGGATCAGCTCTGGATTCCAGAGACCTGATCACACACAGATCCCAGCCCTGCAGGGGCCCAGCCGTCCATAACAGCTGATGTCCTGAGGGACCCAAAGAGACACAGCAAGGGGCCAAACACGCTAAAGAAAAGTCCCTTCTTAGGGACAACCTCTGCAGCAGCACCTTAGCTCAAGGACAAGGTTTTTCGCATGCCTAGTCTTGCATCAGCCAGGAAATCCACAGGAAGTCTCATTCCTAGGGCAAAGGACCTGTATCCTTATACACGTCACCTCCCCACTCTGTCTATGCTAAGGTTAGGACAGAATGATGACACCCAAGGGTGCAATGTAGCACCACCCAAGCCCCAACCCCATAGCACTGACCTGTCACTGTCCAGTCCTGTGCCAAGCCACCAGCAGGTCCCTGATCTTTCTGAGCCACCACAGAGCTGGAGGGGGAATGAAGGGGTGAAGTTGGAGGTCAAGGACCATTGGGCCTATGCATATGGGGACACACTGGGGCTCTCTCTGGGTACACCCGGGAATATCTGTTCTGCTTCAGTACTGGAACAGCCCCGGCTCTCCCCTCCCTTTCCTTTCCAGTGAGTTTCTGGACTTGAGGGATAAACAACCAGCATCAGTATCACTGAGTCCTCCTGCAAACCATGCCCAGCACCACAGTCCCAAACCCCCTGACACCCCATTTGGCAGCATGGAGGGTCACAGGTTTGCAGCATGGGGGCTTGGGCAGGGAAACCCCAAAGGGAAGCTGCAGAGACCTGACATACCTCATTACACAGCAGAGAGCTCAGCCCTGTGCTGCCCTCAGGCCATGGATCCAGACTCACAGCCTCTCAAAAGCCTCACCTCCACCTTCTCTCCCACCCATGGGTGGGTTCCTGCAGAGCACCCTCAACTGCTATCCCATTTCCAGCCCCACCTGCAGCCAATATCCCACCAGAGCCATCCTTCTCTCCAAACCCCATCCTGGGCTTTGAGCTTCCCTGGCTGAGCTCAGCCCCAGGCTCGGGTGTGGGGATGAAGGTGAATGGGGTGTTGCAAAACTCTTCTGGGCCTCTGAGCCCAGTAGTTTGGAGGAAAAATGTTTTTTTCCAGCCCTTATTCCCTGGAAGGAGGGCAGCACAGCCATTTGGTACTACCATGCCTCACTTCCCCTGCTTTAAAATGGGAGTAACACCATGATTTCCTCCTGGAGCTGACCCTAGGTTTGTGGATGGGGCAGCAGCACTGGGGGGGGGCAAACACACCATCCTCCCCGGGGACCCACATGTCACAGCATCACCCTGAGCAGACGGGATGTCGCCCTGGTGTTACCTGCTGTCTGAAGCCAGATCTCACGGTGACCTGGGGCTCTGCCAGCCCCGGCAGACGTGGCACCGCCGCCACTCGGCACAAAGTCCACAGTTGCTGCAGGGAGTCAAGGACAAGTGTCCCCAGCGGTGGCAGGGCCACTGTGACCTCACCGCTCACCCGTCACCATGACCTTGCCACCCGCAAGGATGGGGATGCCATGTCCAGGGGGTCCCCACCAGCAACCAAGGGTGAGGGATGCAGTGGATGCTCCATGCTTGGTGATGCTGTCAGCACTCTTGGTTTCACCCTGCTGGGATATCGACTGCATGGCCGGGCCTGCGGGGACAGGAGTAGGACATGGTGATGGCCCAGCTGAGGACAGCAGTGGGGTGGTGATGGAGTCCAGCTGCCTGCATCGTGCTTGCGTGATGACAGGTGATGGAGACCCGGCCGAGTACAACTGGCCACGGCTCCTGACCCTACTCCGGACCCCTCTCCACGGCAGGATGAGGCCATGCGGGTGACGCTAGGTTGTCCCCCGCACAGGGAGAGGCAGGATATGGCCGAGGTGTGCGAGGGATCCCAGCAGCCACTTGATGTCAGTATTGGCCTGATGTTCATCCTGGGGATGGGCAGCAAAAACGAGTAGGAACAGGCCAGGAGAGGGGAAAAGAGCAGTTTCCCAGAGTTAACATCACCAGCGGGAAAAGACGAAGGATTTTAAGGAGCAAGGAGAAATGGGCTGGTCCAGGAATGGATAAGCAGATCCATCCATCCATCCTGCCATATTTTCCAGCCTTCAAAATGAATCTCATTACTGACAGTTAACAGCCACTGACCCCTGGCCCTTTCTCACAACTTTGCTTTATGGTTTGAGAAGGTGGCTCTTCCAGAATGTCCACTCACCATGGACATCCTCTTTTTGTGCCTTTATACAATCAATTAATTCATAAAATTCATTAATTAATCATTAGCACTCTCACCCAGGCATCCATGGCTTGTGTCATCAAGTTTTCTCCATCTGCCCAGAGGAGCTCCTGGCAAAGCTGGGATGGGTTTTCCAGGTGACCCCCTGATTCCAAACCTGCTCATTTTCCCCATGGGGTGCACCCTTGGACCCTCCCCCCCCCCCAACACTTCCAGCCACCTGTGTAGCCCCCCTAGCCTTTGGGCTGAGTCAAGGTCCCCTTTGTGCAGGGAACTAGGCAGATTTAGCTATCTTTGCTTTTTTGTAGGACCTACAATAAACGGTGCCACCACAGGGTTCAGCTGGTGGACCTTGACTCTGTGTGACAGAGTGGCTTGTGGGGACACGGTCACCTGGTTGAGTCTGGGATCTGTCTGTGGTCCCAGTGTGCCTGAGGGATGGGTTGATGATCCTGGGGGTTCACAGCCCCTGCTCCCCATCACCCGGGGAGAGGACACAGTCCCTATTCCATATCACCTGTGAGGGTGTCCTAGGGGATGGGTGCTGGGAGCATGGTGTGGGGTGCTGAGGTGCTGAGTGCTGGAAGCTGGATGATGTGATTGATGGGTGCTGGGGTGCTAAGTGCTGGGAGCTGGAGATCTGGGTGTTGGGTGCTGGGAATTGAATGGTCAGACTGTGGGAAGTGAGTGGGAAAGCCAAGCTGGTGCTGGGGGATGTTCCACATCAGCTTTGGCTTCAAGAGAGGAGAGCAAACAGCATGGGGCAACAGAGGGGTGCCAAGCTGTGCTTTGGGGTGCCCTGGGGACAGCACAGGGATGTGAGGGCACCCAAGGGCTCCCAACAACAGTGTTTAAGCAGGGCAGGCAGCACCAGTGCCATGAGGGGCCTAGATGGGAGCAGGGCTGGGGTGGGGAGGGCTCTCTGCAGAGCTCAGTCAACAGCATTGAGCTCCCCTTGCTCCACCTGTGCTCCAGCTACTGGAGGCTTTGCTCAAGCTCAGGCTGGTCCCAACAGGGGAGTTGGTGTGATAAACCTCCATTCCACTGCAAATCCAGACCCAGAACTGCTCTGGAAGGAGAAAGCCCCCTCATCATTGGTTTAAATTCAGCCCCCTGCAAAGTTTGCCCAAAGGCTTGGGGCAAAGCCAGCTGGGTCTGCTGTCCTGCAGAGGTCAATTTTGCATGATTGGGGTTGTACAAATATCCAGCATCCTCACAAAATACTTCTGAGAAGTGTGGAAAGGGTCAGAGCACCCAAGTTTTTGGGTAGCATGAAGGGCAGGAGGACCCATGGATGGCAGACAGGGTGATGGCTGTGCCTAAACCTGGCTGGCTGTGCTCAGCTGCACACCCCAGGGTGTGGAGGAGGCTAAAACACAGCTGGAAAAGACCCAAATCCATGAGGAAAGGAATCAGTCCGGAGCTGTAACTACAAAAGCCTCTGGCATCAGCAGCTCAGGGATCAGCCTGTCACTGTTCCCTGTATCTACAGCAGGGTCATGCTGGGATGGGCAGGGGGCAAGATGTGGATCTGTCCCCTCCCTCCCCAACCACATCCCAAGATCTGGACCATTTAACATCTCCCCATCTCCTTTTCCATTCAGGATCAGCCAGACCATTTCCAAAACCAACCCTACAGCAGGAAACATTCAGCATAATTAACCCCCATCGATTAACATCTTAAAGGAAAGGGGGGGGGGGGGATGGAAGAGTTTTGATTTTTGGGTTTAAAGGCCAGGAAAAAAACTCTTTGTCCGATTCCCTGCCTTGTTCTTCCCAAATCACACTGGGACACGGCTTGGGGCCTTTCTACCCCACACTTCCCTCCAAGAAAGGAAAATCCAAGACGTCTGCCTTCACATAGAAAGTCTCTGAGCGCCTTTATTTTTTTTTAGCCTTTATGCAAAATTTAGTGCTTACTTTTGCCTTTTACATGTCCTGATCCCCCAAATACAAATTATTCCCTTATGTACTTGCAGCCTGAGCACCACCACGGTGCAGCCATTGAGGCTGCCTGCAAGGAGCATTACCAGCACCAGAGGGAAGAACGGAAGCTTTGGGAAACATCCGTGTTGAACACCCGGAAAAGATAATCAGCTTCACTCTTGGGTCACTCCTCTCCTGGAGATCCAAGATGGAGCCAAGGCTCAACCTGTAAGGAGGCGGCAGAAGAGCTGGAAATGGGCAGGGACACAATCTGGGGTTTCTCGCCAAGTTCTCACCCCCGAGATAGCTCAGCTCTGGCCGCGCCAGAGGCCACACTCCCTAGGGGGATCCGTGCCTGACAACTGCCATTCGGGAACGGTTCTGGAGGAGGAGAAAGGCATTAAAGAGTTAAGGGCCAGATGGCTGAAGCACAAGGCCGGGTTTAGAGCTGGGCACCCCCCCTGAAAACCGGGACCCCCACTCTGAAGCCGGGACACGCCCCGTTTGGAGCTGGGATTCCCCCAGCTTCGAGCCGAGCACCCTGCTGGTACCTCCCCATTCCTCCTGCCTCAGCCAGGCCTCTCCCCGCTGTGCCACCAGCAGGCCGGGCAGCACCAGAACCGCGTTTCGCTGTCTCCTCCCGGCTCCGGGGAGCCCTCACCGCCCAACCGAGGGCTCAGAGGAGCCCGGGAAGGGCCTGCAGGAGGCGGACGCCCCTGTACCGTGTCTCTGGGCCCGGGGGTGATCGACAGCGCGGGGCGGGGCCCAGGATCGGCCCCTCGCGGCCACCGGGCGACCCGGTCCCGCTCACCGCCACGGCAACGCGCCGCGCCCGGCTGTGTCCCTCCCCGTCTGGGGTCCCGGTTGTCGTGGGAGAGCGAGTCTACACCGCCACAGGCTGCGCCGCCGCTCTACAGGACTGGACTACAAAGTCCATAATCCCGCCGGAGGCGGCGCGCCCCGCCTCTTCCTCTACAACGCTCATTTCCATTGGCTCCTCCAAGTCGCTAAATTGCGTCACGGCGGCATCTGATTGGTTGCAGCGCCGAGGTGCAGGCTATGGCGGACGAGCGGGCGGTGGGGAAGCGGCGGCAGCCATTTTGTGTGTGCGGAGGCAGGCTCCGGGCCTTGCTGCTGCTGCCGCCGCCGGGGCGTGGGTGACGCGGCGCGGTGGGCCAGGGGAGCTGGATGGGACCGGCGGGGGAGGCTCCTCCTCGCTGCTGAGCCGGGATCGCGGGGCAGCCCGGACGGGCGTCCCTTTACTGGAAGGGGTGCTCGGGTCTCCCCGCTGGCCCTGAGGTGGACGGTGGCGCCGCGCCCTCCACAGGCTCCCCTGGTCAGGGCTCCGGGGACGGGGAGAGCCCATCCCCTACGAGGAACGCCGCGTCTGGAGCTGGGGAAGGGGTCTTGGACCGGAGTCTGAGTGCGCGGTGGTGCGGGGGAAGGCCCAGGCAGGCTTTCCGTGCACCGGGCTCCGGCGGTTCTCACGTCGTGGGGCCGCTCGGCAGCGGTGCCTTGGCTCCAGTCCCGCCAGTAACGCTGGGGCGGGGTTCTGAGCGTGGATGTTCTAGCAAAACCGTCGTTAAAACGGTATCCGAGTGTTGCTGGACAGCAGCACCAGAGTTTCTTGCGAGGCTGCGCTCTGAGTGACCCCCGGTGTGAGCAAACAGCGCAGTTTCATGTTGGAAGTGGGA